TTGGTATGTCGAAATCGAAAGTAGAAGTCTTTTAACTCTTTTAACTTTTGATCGCCTACATTTTTGAAAAAGTTACAGACCACGATAACTGTCATTGCAGGCGAGCATGTTTGCAATAAAAAAAATACTGATTAAATTATCAGTATATGGTTATGTACCCAAACAATAACACCAACCTCTAAATTTAAAACAAATTCTTACATCTGACACTACAGTCGACAGTTTTCTTAAAAATGTATATTGTGAAACCTAAACCAATATTGAAAATTCAAAGTCCCTAAAGCATGTACGATTTGACGACTTATTGGGACTTTATCGACCCCTATGTTTGCAAATCAAAATATTTTGCCTCGGTAGGCTGTTCATCATCAAAATTTAGGGTCCAATCGTGTGGGTCTTCAAGAATAACGGATTTCCTTGTTAAACGTTCGTTCAGAGAATCACAAACAATTGATTCTATTATCTTACAACTGATTGTCTTTTGTCATCGTCACAGAGTTCTTTGCAAACTTGCTTGCAGCAATGTCATCATCTTCTATAGTTTTATTATTTTTGTCATTACAACAACTAGTCCTGTTAAGCGAGTCTTAAGTATTTCTAAGGAATTTTGGGGTTTTTCGCTTCATTTATTCTTGTGTCATATTTATCTTTCCTTAACTTCGTTAATTGGCAGATTGGCATATGCAAGATGTATAAAATAATCACTCTGTTGTTCTTCTTTTTCCATAAGGTTTGTTTTTTCCGAATCATGTATAGCAGGAATTTGTTTGGCGAGTGTGGTCAAATAGTTTTTGAATTTAATCCAGTTGTCATCTACAGTAGTATTGTTTAGCAGCGAAGCCTAGTTAATTTACCTAAGGTCTTTGTTTAGTTGTTCATAGTCTATAATTAACTTCAATTGTTCTTCCTGTTGTTTTATAATAAATTTGGAAACTTACTTTAAGCAAGCAGTGAATGAAATACCAATTTGACATCTGAAAGAATGATCAAGTCTAAAGCAGATGGTCTCGAAAGTCAAGCCGCAACTGACAGTCACTGTGGGCTTAAAAACCATTTTATTCTAGGTCTATTAAAGTCACCAAACACAACTAAATTTGGATATCGGTTTACGAGTTCTACTAATTTTTTAAGTAAAGCGTCAATGGAGCTCTGTAAACACATACCAATGTCAAGGTTATAAAATTGTTTTTGATCTCAGGAAAGATAGTTTCAATATTTGGAGTCTCAACATCTAATACGGATAATATGAAATTTGTTTTAACTAATGAGTCTGCTACAAACAGGGTTATATACAACTAAGATGATCTGAGTCTTTTAGAGCTGCAAGCCAAAATACTGATTATAATTTCTGGATTTCAACAAACATTTTAAAATTTATTTAGATCCGAAGGTGTGAGACTGGTGGAGATGTCAATAAGAAGCTGTTGTCATTTTGATAGTTGCTAAAAATACCGACGCATCGTCACAGTAATTTAAACAGAATAAATGATCTAAATTTATTGCAAAATAATTACTGGGAACCTTAACTGGAAGATTTGCCAGTTGCTTCGTTTAGAGATTTTTAATTCCAGTCATAGAATCTTTCGAAAATGTCTGAGCCAACAATTGAATGATATTTGGGTAATACGAGAGGTAGTACTCATCCTTAGTCTGCTCAAATTCCGAATCTCACATCACGAGACTATTTTTTGGAGAGCTGTTTAAGAAAAGGTTTACCAGACACCTTTTAATTAATTATATTCTCGAGAAGAGTTGAATATCATAAACATCCAATTAATTTTGGTTAAACTTTCACTTGTTCCTTCATAATCTATTTCTGTTTTCTTAGCTGAAACAGTCCTTATAAGAGGTTGAAAGAAATTTGAGAAATCAACTGTTGTACTTAGCAATTGGGTTAAAATACTACATTAGTAGGACAGTTATCATCACAAAAAATTATTGGATTAAGAATAGAAGGATTCTGATTAAATCTGTATCTTGTTGGTCGCAAAACCGGTTCATTTAAATAGCTGTTGATATAATAAACTTATGGTAAGTTAAGAAGACACATTATAAAATTGTCAAAGATCTAAAGGCAAATCAAAATCTCTAAAGATGAAGAATAGAATCTGATAATATCTTATCATTATTAATCGGAGACAATAGAGGTGTACAGACCCAATCCAAAATAAAAGTTCCTGGATTTGGAACTGAATATAGATTAAGGTTGGTAGAAATTTTGTTTTGCTTGACTAAATTTACAAAAGTTTTCCTAATTTTGATTGAATAGAATGATCAGTTATATCGAACAGTATTAAAAGAGTCAACAAAAATAAGACATCAGAGAACATAATAAACCAATAAATAGAAGAATATTTTCGTGCAAACCATGTGTAAAACCTCATTATAAATTTAGGTAACGATGAAATGGACAGCAATCTTTATTGGGAATGTACTGAACAATAATGGAATAAGAGGAATAAATATTTGCGTAATAAATGGTTAACATATATATTTTCTCAAAAGGATGATGTTTCATTTTATTTATTTATTTATTTAAAAAGTTAACTGGGCAGAGGACAATGTCCTGTTATGCCCAAGGAACAGTGCAGATACTAACTAAATATAAACTAAGTCTACTTCTAATATAAATAAATCTTTATATTTCCAATACTCTAAACACTAAACTGGTCAGTCTGGAAGGCATCGAAGGCAATCTTGAAATTAGCTACTGAAGTACTCTGTACAATATGAGAAGGACTTGAATTCCATGTGTTGAAAATTCGGTTTGGTAAAAAGAACTGCCTGCTTCTGGTTCGAAAATTCTCTTTCTGCAGTTTAAACAGATGTCCGCGAGTTCGAAAATCCACAGAGATGGAGAAGAGTGAACGGATAGGTGATCCTACATTTCTGACAGCTTTAAAAGTTGTTATTGCATCACCCCGGATTTTCCGATATTCCATTGTAGGCAACATCATGATTTTAAGCCTATCTTCGTATTTAGGACGACGAAAACTGAACGGGATACGAGTAATACGGCGTTGCACAGATTCTATCGCCTGCTTATCTCTAATTAGAACAGGGTGCCAAACAGCGTTACCATACTCGAGTAGGGGTCTCACATAGGACTTATGCAATTTTGCTATCGTTGCTGGGGATGCATTGGAGAATACTTTTTGCATTAGATACACAACAGTGTTGGCTTTTTTTGACAACACTTAAAATATGTGCCGACCAGGATAAGTCGGACGTGATAGTTATACCTAAATCAACTTGCGAGTCAACATCCTTTAATAAATGCGATTCAAGGTAATATTTAAGCTTGGGATTATTGCTGCCAAGGTGGAGTATACAACACTTGTCTCTGTTCAGAGAAAGAAGCCATTCATGCGCCCATTTTGAAACAGTATTAACATCAGCATTTATAAGATCGCAGTTAACACAGGTATTATACACTTTCAGATCATTCAAAAATATTTTTAGATACTATCTTAGATATTCGTAAGTCTATTGCTTTAGGATTGCCATAAACGAAACCCGAAAAATTAAACAGGATACGCAGTAACAAAATTCCTATTAATATTTATTACTGCATTATAGGATGTGAATTTTTTACAAGAAAATAAAAAATAAATAGCCCCATTATTTTGGAATTCAAACATTAAAAAAATAATGCAATATACTCGTATTTATTAAACTTGATAATTAAATTTCTTCTACAGTTCATTTCTATCAGATAGAGAAAGAAAAATTTCAATCAATTGAAAGTTGAAGTGTTTGCTTTTATATTCGTAAGTAATACTAAAATAACATCATATTAAACATAGGACGACATTGCATCTTTTAAGAATAAAGTTTGTGCATATTTGTTTTTCATCGGTATTTGACCTGTTTGTGCGTAAAAATAACCTCTTGCATAGATGCGAGGACACGTTTCGCGTAACTATTTTTAAATACTTAATTGTCAAGATCACAGAAGGAATCGGTAGGGCAATAGTCAACGTAGTTACACAAAAATATAACACAAACTATAATAATATGCGGTTTTTAATTTAGCCCTCGTAAAGTTTATTTTCATTTTATTGATTTGTGAACGTAAAAAATTATGTAACGATTGACTATTTTTGTATATCCTCAAAGCTCCGTTGTTTTACGTCAAAACTTGAGTGCTCCCTTTTAAATTTACATTTGTCTGAGATGTACCTAGTCGATGTACAAACAAGTGTAGGTAGCAAAAAACTCAAAGATCAACAAAGATTTAGAAGTTAAGTGAAATTATTTAACGGATTGTTGGGCATCAAAGACTTGAGCAATTCCTACTGGATCACGAATCTAATTAGAGTGAGAATCTCAGTGGAACCTGTCAAAGTAAAGTAAATGTGAACGAAGTTGGACCGGCGTTCAGTAATTTAATGGACGAGCGAGTAGTTTACAACAATCGGTCCTATATATCGTCTTGTAATTGGCAAAGATGGAACTTGATCAAAACCAATAACTCCTCTACGAATACGCGCAGTGATAACAGATGCCAACATATTTCGGCGGGACGCTTTTATTTCGCGGTCAATTATTTAAAAAGAAGTCTGCGGTTTGGTAAATGTAGACAGATGAGAAAGCCTTGTAGATGTATAAATTTTACAAAGTCCCGTGGCGGTTAAATAAAGAAAATAACGACTCCATCCCACGTAAACAAAATTGTAAAAGATACAAACTACGATAAATCCTGCTTTTGGTAATAGAGAAGGTCCTTTATTGTGGCGATTAATAATTCGAAAAAGAGACAGCGTCGACACGATAAACAACTGAAATATTACTTCTTTTCGGGGAAATCGTTTTGATCCTTTTAGACCGCCCGTTTCCGGAAAATACTTTTCGACGAAGCATTCGCACACATCGCCGATTGTTGGCATTGTTTCAACACACAGCGATGTCATTTATTTTGATTCTAAACGGATTATTAAATTTTAGCCTGCCCCTACGGTTCTGAATTCATGTCTCATGTCATGTTCTTTTTGTTTCAGATGACTATAATAGGGTAGTTCTAGAAACTATAGAAGGAGAACACGATTCGGATTATGTTAACGCATCGTATGTAGATGTAAGTGATAATTTAATTACCTATTCTAACTATTATCCGAAAAGGGTAATTTTAAATACATGATACTTATACTACCTATAAATGCAATTTTTTTTACTCATGACTTTAAATATCATCCTGGTCACTTTCAGTTAAGTGTGAAAAGAAAATCATTTTTCACATTAGTGCAAAAATAAGCTAGGCACAAGATAAATGTTGCTTGAGAGATTTAAGAATGTATTTACTATATAAATTAACATCCAGTTTGTGCAATAATTTACACTAATTTCTACAGACACTTGAGATGAAATTGTGTTTTAGGGAAGCAAAAACCGCAATTCAATAACACGTAACATTAAATTAATAAAACATCAGTGTCACAGTGTCAGTATGTAAAGTAGTTATATTTTGATTAGCCACTACGTTTAAGGTATATTTCATATTTCCCTAATATTACCAACACAAAACATTCTTTAGTTTCCAGTCTCTTTTGTAAACATTAATTTTGCTTGCGTGGACCGCTTAGTAACCATCCCTGTATGCCATTTTTCTAATGTTGGTGAACATATCATTGTAAAACTTGACCTAACAGGAATGCCATTATGCCATGTTTAGTTATAGGCGCAATATGTTCCAAATTTATGTTCCCAATATACAAAACCATGCACTTGGGAATGTTAAGTGGAAATAACCAGTCAAGAGTTCCATTCACTAACTGCTAAAAGATCCTGCGCTAATGTGTTTGAGTTACTACTGAGGTTATGCAGGATGTTATGGAATTGAAAGCAAAAAATTTAATCGGTAACAGAACTTATTATTAGCGTATTATTCAAAATTCTATTGTTCAAGAATTATAGCTGAAAATATATGGATAAGGTCGTTGCTTACATGTATCCATAAAAAAGCAATAATAAATACAAGAAACCCAATTTATTCCCCAAAGGGCTCGTTCATTAACAACAAAAGAAATACAGTTATTAAGTTATTAGTTATTTTGAGACACCCCGTATAAGCAAATCGAAAAAAAGTATTGACTCATCATATTTCGCACATTTCAGCAAAATTTTGAGGTGACGTCATCAATTTTTTAGCAAATACATTTTGATCAAAAATCTATCACGCTTATGATAACTTTAAAACATCTCCAAGATTTAAAATCATTCGGTTTTGAAGTTCCTGAATAAATCAATAAAAAAAATTCACGCATTCATTAATTTTTTGAGTCAACCTGTATATGCAAATCCAAAAAGTATGAAAAGAATGATAAATTACAAGGACAGACTCATCATGTTTTGTACAACTTAGATAGGATTTATTCGGCAAAATTTTGAGCTGACGTCATCAATTTTATGGAGGCGATAAGTAAATATGTTTTGATTAAACATTTATCATACTTATCATAACTGTAAAATATCTGCAAGATTTCAGAGCATTCGGTTTTGCAAATTCGAAATTAAATAGTAAAATGTTTTATAATTTTGATTTTTTTCCAAAAATCTGAACGTTTCGCGTAAAAACTCTGTACGGAATCATAAGCTACATGTGTAGGACTATGTTATTTCATACAATTTAAAACCCATTTACTATGTAAAATTTTGAAGTTACGTCATCACATTGTTGGTGGGTATGATTAGACAAATTTTGGTTAGCGTTTTACATCATACTCCTAATATAAATACAAAATTTGACCATTATCGGCCCAGTACTTTCGGAGCTTATCTGTCTAATAAAAATTGGGACGGCAGACGGACAGACAGACAGACGGACAGACAGACGGGAACGAGATACTGTTGCAGTAAACGTGTGTCCAGCTGGAAGTCGTCGGTTTGGGAAGCGAACACTGTACAGACGTTTCGCCTCCTGGGCGTTGTCTAGAACCTCACCGTACACAAGTACCATATCCATGATAATAAGAATAAAAATATTCTACGCTGGCTAATGAATCATCGTCCAGTAAATCTAATTAATCTATAGTATGTAGGCACTGACTAGGTCAATATTTGGTGCATTGCTTTACAAACTGATGTAAATGAGTACGCTGTAACAGATCGACCAGTAACTGAGAGAATGAGACATATTTAAGGGCCAGACGACATTGGGTATATTAACATCACCAAAATTGATTACTTTATTAGAATTCAGAAAAATTTTGGAAAAAAGTTTTGTCATTATTAAATACAAAGAAAGGTGATTCTGTAAACACAACCTAAGATAAATATGAAAACTTTGTTCGTAATCGTTAAAAAAGGAGAATCAATGTCAACGCATTCACGTTTTAAAATTTTGTATCCATCCAAAGAAATCAGGTATCGAGTATTGCAGAATTTAACCAAGTTTCTGCCAACAAGAGAAACGAAGAGTTGATCTTATTTATAGACAAGAACAGTAAGACAGTCATATTTAGTCATTAGGGAAGCGATGTTGGAATACCTTACACGACTATTTATATATTTCAAGAAGAAGTTATTGTTAGACTAATTAATCATTTTGGAAATATTGATAACTGCAACATTTTTTGCATTGCGAAAGTTTTCAAAGGCTATTTTAATTTTGGGTTGAACCTTTTCACATCTACTTTTGACACGTGCACGTTCCATAAGAGAATACATGTCATACAACAAGGTAGACACTTGTCTATTAAAGTAAAAATGTGTTTCACTTGAACGACAGCTTGGTCGTAGTTAAGAGAATATTGTTCAACATTACTTATAATATAATCTCTTTAACAGGTTCTAACATATTAGATGTAGGTGTTCGTTTTTCAGTAGAATCTGAATGATAAATCAAGTAGAGTCAACGGTTGTTTGTCAATGGTTTGCCTTTTACCCACGATATAGTCAGAATTAATCAGCTTATGAACGTTTGTACTTGTTCTTAAATAAGACATAGGCAAAACCGTTATAAACGTTAATGCTTAATTTCCTTGTCTTTGAGCTAATACGATCGATCCATTACTTTACTATATATTAGCATCTACGTGAGTACCTATGTTATTTTATAAAATTTAAGTAGCAATTATCATGTAAAATTTTGAGGTGACGTAATCATTATCACGTTCTTAGTGAAGATAACTAGACAAATTTTCCTAATATATTATGTATAAAATTTGACAACAATCGGTCTGATAGTTTCGGAGATAGACGACACATGAAAACTCCACGGTAACCAAACATACGTGCTACTTCACCCAGTTAGTGTTTACCAAAAATGAATTGTGCGTCAGACACAAAGGAAACTCTGTCTAAATAACTTTTTCGTATTGTGATATTTCGTTATTTAAATTATGCAAGAGTTTATTGACCGCTATGGTCTAAATTTGCTTATCTTAGTCAGTGTTCTAATATTTTTGGAAGCTCAGTGAATTTGCAACTTATATCTAACGTATTTTACTTCACAAAAACTAAGCACTAATAACGCTTATTTTACATATGTTATATAGTTAATACAAACTGATGTAATGCCAACAACGCGTTAGTACATTCCTTAAACAAAGAAAACTGCCAGTCTACATAAACTATAAACAACCCTTGTCAATAAGTTTTCTGCTTTTGTTTGCTCAATTATCGCTCTATTAGCAAACTAAACACAATTATTAATTTGCAGAGTTTATTAAAGCCTAACGCCTACATAGTAACCCAAGGACCAACCGAGGAAACCGTCACCGACTTCTGGCGCATGGTATGGCAGGAAAAAGCGTGTTGTATAGTCATGTTGACAAAAACGTTCGATTTCATCAAGGTTTGGTTGAAGGACACTTAAATGCAACTGTTAAAAATAACGTCTCATTACTTCAGGTTATGTGCGTCCAATATTGGCCCGCTTCCAAGGAATTAGAAGAGACGTACGGCGGAATTACTATAGGCATCATTCAAGAGGAGGAATTGGCCAATTTTCACATACGTACTTTTCGACTGTGCAAGAAAGAACTGGATGTAAGTCTTTCGCTTGTTCTCATTTCGCGTTTTGTATAAACGTTGGTTTTGCAGCAAGTAGTTGAAGAGAGATTTATATTGCAATTCCATTTCACCGAATGGCACAGTCACACTTGTCCTTTTAGCAACGCCGTGCTGGAGTTCAGAAGGAGGGTGCGTGCGGTGGTGGGGCACAGGATTAAGTCGAACGAGGCAGGACCGATGGTGGTGCATTGCAAGTAAGTAGATTAGGAAACGTTTGAGCGTTCGAAATTAATAATAAACGGATTAGCCCAGTTTCTACACAAAACGTTTTAAATCGTCAAAAATTTCGTCCCGAGCCTCAAGACAAAGTAAGGATCTCTTCCCTTATTTTCAAGGGGGATAAAATACGTGTTGTATTTTTCTAACGGAGTTACATCATTTTTTACTATCTAAGAAATAATTTCGTCGAAATTTAATAAAAAAAAAAAATAGTTTTTCCATGTTTTAACAAGTTTATTTAAACTTTTTTTTTTGACGGGAAGCACTATTCAGTGCAATTTTAATAGGGATTTTGCATCCTTAAAACTGCTGCAGGATGTTATTACTTCAGTTGCAGTACAAGTGTTGATAAAAAAAACCCTTGTGTGTAGCGAATCAAAATCTGTAAAAATATTGTAAAAACGTTTATAAAAACAGCTTTTATATTTGAAAACAAATTTAAAATGTAGCCCTATATTAGTTTTATTAAACTGTGTCAACAATTTTTTTCATCCGTTTAAGAGAATATGTAATCTTCCTCCCCCAGACCCTTGGGGCATCCTGTATTTTCAACCGCAAACAATTTGTCCAGTACGTGCGAAAATTCATTCTCCCACGCAACGACTTCTTTAATAAGTAATTGGGTCACACGTCATAATTAATCCCCACAAAGGCACTTGCCCTAGAAACTTCAGTGATACACAAGACAACCGTGTACGCGCTTAGATCTTTTAGAGACATATAAAATAACCCTTTTAGCTGAGGTTTGAATTTGGACTGGACTATTACAAAGATATTTTTACTTATTGAAAGTAACTTTTATTTATTTTTATAACCAGGATTTTTCACACATGCTATTTTTTTTAACTATAAGATTATATATATTTTTTCTTTAAAATTAAAGAACTTTAATGGTAATGAAATAAATAACCTGAAATAAAAACCTGCAGCGTATACAGTACAAAAAATTGTTCTTGAAAAAGTAACACAACATTGTTTTCTAAATTCCTGGAAAATGTTGTGATTGACAAATGGAGATTCCTTCTTACGTTGTGAAACAAAATTCAACTTTTGTCAGATACAAGTCGTAAAATACCTGTATAAACGAACAAAGTTAAAATATTTTTTTTCGTGAAAAGGCACCACATTTATTATTAAATGATAATACCAGGAAGTACACTAACGAGTTTTACTGATATAGTGAAGATGAACTCAAGACGTTCAATAAGGATTCGGCTAGTGAGCTTTAGATCATCAAAATCTTATTGCAAAGTCCAGTTTCTTTTTGTTGCAAACGCAGCAACTGCAGGTGGATATTAAGAAAAATTTCATATTCTTTTAAGAGTCGAACTTTAGTATGAATTAAATTATAAAAATCGTAATGACTGCGACAATATCAACTGTTCAACATGTAATTTCACTTTGCATAGAATACCGCATTTGCAGGATATGGTTTTTAATATTAAGTAAAGAGATTAATTAATATGCCCACTTCCATAATTCTTGTGTTGAATACATTTTACGTGAAGAATGAAATCGTATGAACAAGTCGTGATGATTCTAACAAAATGAAATTATTTAACTGGGAAAGTTTCCTGTATCATAATATGTATAACAAAAACAATATTAACTGAACTGTATTATCATTTTAGGATTAAGGCAATGTTGTAATTGAATAACTATGTGTTATAACTATGTTTTTGTAAGCCTTTGTAATATACACAGACAAAAATATAGAGTAAATTACATTCATCTTGATAAAATTAACATTTCTCTGCCTATCTGATATTTAACACAAACGAAATGGAGACAGTCACATAAATGAATTAAAATATTTTGATATAATTTGAATCCTAACTACGGTGTTTCTCTTTCAAGGCATGTTTTACTTCTTTCATTTTCTCTCCACCTCGTTTCTTTGTTACGCTCCTAAATTGACGCTGCAATTCGTAAATGAAAAACGAGTTGCGCAGCCTAGTTTTTTAGCAACGACATTATTATGACGACTCAAAAGAGAAAACGTTACACTGAAATTAGTTCGCACCTTCTGGAAAAATTGCCGTTCCAATTGTTAGAACTGCGCGATTACGAAGACAATGAGTAGTGAAAGTCTTCGTCGTTTCGCAAATCACTGAAAACAAACTAATGGAATTTTTTTTTTCTGAGTAGAAAACGTGCCTCTTTTTCTTTTATTATTTTAGTCAACGTTTAACAGCTAATTAAATTTTTAGAAATGTGTCTATTTGCTGCGTGGTGGTACTTTATTAGATAATAAAATGCATTTTATCAACTGCTGTTAATGTAAACATTGTGCCTTTTATTTTACAGATTAAGTTCGTCGTGAAGTATGTTCCACAAATGTGCTTTTAATTTCTAAAATATGGCCTTTTCGAATAATAGCTATTTATGTAATAAGTACATAAGATAAGTCTCGCAAGCTCGCTCTGCCATAAACTATAGGGCTCGGCCACAAAGCCTAATTATGTACGAATAACATACAAAGCTTTATGTTCGATTGCACTGAAGAAAATTGTCCTACAAAAATTACATTCTGCAACGAAAATTGTGATGCTTTCAAAGTGTGCTGTTTTTTGTTGCTATGGTCACGCTATTTACGGATTTGGGAAATTTGCGAGAAGTGTATCATTACGGTCTAGTCCATAAAGAGCCACTTTATGGACGCTAAACGATAGCATAAAACATATATTATTATGCAATCGAACATAAAACATATTATTATGCAATCGAACATAAAATCATTTTTGAGTCACACACATAACAATAGTACATTATGGAACTAGTGGATGAAGTTGAATTTCAACGGCGAGAGTGATTTTTTCACACGAGCGAGTGCAACGAGCGAGTGCGAAAAAGAAACTCGAGCCGTTGAAATTTCTTCATCCGCGAGTTGCATATACTATTTTTTCTAAGAAATTAGGAAATAAATGTTTTTTTTAAACGTCAAACACTAACGGGTCGTCCAGCCTAGGCGTCATGATTTTCGAAGCGCGCGAAGCGGACGGTGCGGTCGGTGCAGGCGATACGCGACACGTTTCGCTAGCTGCGAAACGCTCAGGCTGGACGACCCGTTAAAATCGTAGACGGCCGAGTATTTTTCCACTAGAGGGTGAAATGAAATTTCATCCACTGCCAGCGATGGGAAAATGACAAACTTCAACCTTAATGAGTAGAAAAAATACTATTATTATACATATTTCTATTTAAATGTAATATAAAATGCATTTTACAGCCTTTAGAAAAACTGAAAAACCTTATTAAAGTGACACTTTTCAAAGTTTCAAAAATTTTAGAAATTTTTTTAGATCTTTTTGTGCAAAAATTGAAAAAAATATGTATATTTTTATAACAGTTAGTAATAACGTAAAACAAATACCTCCGTACATCTTGTAGGGTATATAGCTGCTATGTAATTTCGTACCAAATTACGTATCTTAAAATTTTGCCAACTCCTACATAAGTTTTTAAGAAAAATTATTTGATCCGGGGAACTTCACGTCCCGAGCTTCATCAAATATCAATTTTTATATGATAAATATCGAAGAGATGTGCTTGTATAAATATTTACTTTTCCTTCAAGGATGTAATATATGAGAAGTGTATCATCAAATGGGTAGTACCTAGATAAATTTGGCACACACCAAATACCTTATGTGGCATTCCCATTATTTAGCTATTTTTTTTTTTTAAATTAGGTATTTCCTTTGAAGTTCATATACATAGTGTTTAGGTGTAAGTAAGTGTGTTATCTCTGTTGTTAAGATTCCATTTTGCATTCTGAACATCATGATTAGATTCTCTCTGAATATAAACGTCTGGCGGTAATAACTACCGTTTTTAATAACTCAGATAGATATTTGTTTCTAATATCCCGTTAGCGTAGAGTGTATTAATTTTTTGAGCTTTACGTTTCCATTTTTCTATACATCGCTTGCCTCATCAACATCATATAGACCTTGCACTGCACTTGTTGTTAAAGCTGTTAGTTGTCAGTAGGTTTTTTCATCATTTTTAAAATTTTGAATTTATAATATACATATTTTAAACATTATTCTTAGCCTCAGAATAATTTAAAATAAAAAATATAACTTGTATAAACAATCACAAACATGAAAGCATATCTTTTAAAATAGTTTTTCTAGTTTCATTTGAATAAATACAAACAATACGTATTGGTATTCGAAATACTATTTTTGATAATAATAATTAAACAGATGTAAAACATCATGGAAAAAGAAAACAACTACTAAATTCATCCAAATGTAGTTACTTCTTGGTTAATTAAATAAATCTTTAATAAATTTTTAAGATTATAGTGAACACTAAAATTGCGTTCAGATGGTATTATTTTTTTTTAAGTTCTTTGTTTCTTAGTGTTGATAATATTGATGATTAACCAACGTTCTCTAAAAGGTTATACTCTTTAATGTCTATAGTTTAGTTATTTTCTCTTGGATGAGTTTCATTTGAAACCACTTTTCTTTTTTCTCGAAAGTTGTTCTAAATAGATACATTTTGTCTGTCAAAAACAATATACTGGTATGATCCGGAAAAGCTCTGGTTCTGTGTACAAAATAAAAAACGCCGCTCGAGAACCCCGTGTTTCATTAGTTTTATTATCAAATTATTTTTACTAGGTTCCGCGTCGACCGATGACTACGGTTTGCCGACTCCGGACATCCACAATTAAATAATAATAATTAAATAATGACATGCAGTTAAAAAGTATAAAAAGTAACAATAAAAGTACCAACTGTTAACTATATTTTCATTTACATTCAATTTTTTTTAAATGTATATGGCAAATTGACAAATAAATTAATTGAATAATTATCGAATTCTGAAATACATATCTGAAAACGCTTAGATGCTAAAAACAGAAAAAATGCATTTATGTTGTAGCAAAGTTATGTACGAACAATACAATTTTTGATAATTTAATGTATTTTCTTTTCGTTTATTATTCATACACAGGAAAATGTATTAAATCAACAATTATTACAAAAAAAAATAGTAAGCACTGAAGAACATCGAAGCCGTTATTGTTTTGTAATTTTGTTAGCTATCTTAAATATTAAGCGTTTTAAAAACTAAATTCGCATTTCTGGGTACGGCGAAGGAGGATCTCGCCGGACCTGGCGCAACATACGTTCCGTTCGTAAACAGTGTAGTAGACAAAGACAACGATGGAACCGTAAGCTGCTACTAAGTCGAAACATAGAGCTATGCATTCTTGGATACAGCGTGCCGAAATCTCGCCGGCATAGCGTGTTTATCAGTATTTAAAATTAGCAAACAAATGCTTTATTTTGTACCTATTATATAATGAAATATATTTTTTTAATATATATGTTCTATACTAAACGTAGATTCAAACTTTATTTCTTTTTTTATTTTCTAATTTCAACGTTTACTATGAGTATAATAAAGTGATTGGTACGGCATGGCCGACCCTGCCGCCCCTCACCAGCCGCCTCTGATAATAATCTAGTAATGCTTAGAATATAGACTTGTTTTACGAATCTTATTTTAATACTTTTCCTGTAATTGTATGTTTCTACCCGTTGGAAAATAAATACATTATTACAGTGGCGTAAATAGCACCCCCGTAATGATATACATTGAGTAGATTAATAAATTATTATTATTGTTATGATAATTATTAATTTCTTAAATCACGTCCGTTTCGAAGATTTTTTTAATAAAGTCGAGAAAAAATAGTATATATACACAGTGTATCAAAAATGGCGCACTAGAACGGATTACAATCATCACCAGAAAAACATTTAAAAAATTCTAAAGCACTTATTTTTTGATCTACTGATCTTTAAAGACTACATTTAAAATGTATATTAATTAAAAATCTATTCCTTTGATGTTCTTTAAAATTGCCTTAAATCATACATATTATCACAAACAACAATTTTACTCACTGAGAATATTTCGTGTTTAAAAATAAAGAATCTACAGGGTCCTTAAAATCCTTGAAATTATAAGGCTTAACCAACGTTTGAGAGAAACTGGGAACATTGTACAAGTGATTGGTAACCACGAAAAAAGCCGTCTCAGAACAACAAAAACGCCAAGAGTAGAAGAAAAAGTAATAAGGCGGCCACACAGAGAGAGGGAAGACTGTGAAGTTAAAAGTGTGCACGCTTGTCGTAAGTTAAACCCGTACTCTCTAGTTGCACACACAGACAGAGGGAAGACTGCGCAATCAAAAGTGTGCACGCTTGTCGTAAGTTATTACAGTGGCGTGCATTTGTATTATAAAAAAAAAAAAAAATGTAAAATAAGTCAGACGTCATTTAAAAATACGACGCTAATGAATTAAAACTCAAGCGTACAGCGACTTGTCTCCATACACACTGAGTTTTCCCCGCGCAGTTATAACTGTGCACGCTTGTGGACTTGACTGCACATGCCACATTCTTCCCCACACACTAGAAGTTTTAACTGTACCCCGTGGCACGTACATTGAAGCCTTGACTCTTCCCTCTGTGTGTGTGGCTGCCTATAGACATTTTTTAAAATCAACCCCGACGAAGTAGAAGAGCAGTTGCACAAGATGATAGAATTCACTTCACGTTAGTGCCAAGCTTTAGTACCAAGAGATTTTCAACCCCGAATGTAATTTTGTCATTTGAACATTTGTTGTAATTATTAATGTACGTATTTAATCATAATGGTTTTCTATTAGTAACTCCACTTCCACTATTTACGTTCCTATTATTTGTTTGATTGTATTAAGTCATTTTGACACATTTTTATATCTATTATTACATATTGGTTTTCGAAAATTCATTGTTAAAACATTCTAACAGCGATGCCACAGTTCCGTACATTGAAAGCTTTATAAACCTAGAATTAAGTCAATTAAAATTTTTTCCATAATTTTCCCTTATTCATTGTAATCTGCGCCATTGCGTGGTGCCCCGTTAGTGCACCATTTTTGTACACCGTGTATATGCCTCAGAAATGTATGGCATCTGCAGAAATTTATGATGAAAGCAACGATTTTCAAAGCATAGAAATTAATACATACTTTGAAAAAAAAATACAACTATATTTGAAACAAAAAAAATCTGCCTAAATATATTGTAACTATTATACATAGATTTAACTTCAGTATCGTAATCTACAAACTGTGTAAAAACATCTAAATATATATTTTATAATATCACTCGACCCACAGTATTAATTTTAGTCTAGTCGCAATTATATTGTTCTATTGTTAAAAAACAATAAAAAATCTTTTCTTTTTTTTTTTTAGTGACGGTGGCGGCAGATCCGGGGTATACTTAGCCATAGACGCCAACATGGAATTACAAGAAGAAGAAGACAAATTCGACGTCTTCGGTTATCTGAAAAAATTGCGCCAATCAAGAAAAGGTCTGGTCGAGAACGTGGTAAGTTGGACAAAGTAATAGCAAACTAAAAAAGCCCGTAATAAATTCCATTAAAAAAAGTAATTCGTAGGTTGCGTTTAAAGAGAAACACTTAAGCGAGAATGGAATAGTCGGTTTTTTTACTCGTTCGCTTTCTCAACTTATATTAGAAATAGCACTCAGAGTAGCCCTCTGGGAAATTGTCTACGAGCTGCAGAAATTCTAAGCGGTTAGTTGAATTTGCCGGGCAAAGTGCGCGTTTGAGGGAACAGAACGCACTAAAATGATTTTTTTGAAGGTTAATGTTGCTGGAACAAGACTGACATCAAATGAGAGTTAGTGTGTGCTTATAAAATCGATTGAGAGTTGCTTTGTTGGCGACATGAGTCTAGTTTACGATGAGCAACTTTTCTGCTATAAACATAACAGTGAATTCATGTCGTATAATTTTAATATTCCCAGATTTTATTTCTCTGCTTTGATATATGACGCGGTCGTAAAAATTCAAGAGTGAAAGCCGTGATGATAAGAGGCAACTATTTTAGAAACTAATTTGGAAGTGTTTGCAAGAAAAGATAGGAATGTAAATTTATGTATGTGGCTTGTGTGGGAAGTAATTCCGGAATACAATTTTCTGTTTCAATAAATAAATTTACTTGAGAAAAGAAATGTTCACAATAAAATACTTAGATAGTGTTCATGACTTATATTTCTTTGCAGTTCTAAGAATTTAAATATAAGTACTAGCTGCTGTGTAGAACTATAACGTATTAACGTGTAAAGCTCTAAAGAAACTTATCACAGTAAAAAAAAAAACACAAAGTAACATTGACAACCTCAGTTCATTAAAAAACAACGGAACTGAATTTGATACATGCAACTTAACGTTAATGCTACTTTGCTTACGTAAGGCATCTAAAATGTTTTCTGAAAAATATTCACCGTCATATTAATGTCATTCTGATTTATTAGAATAAAATAACTTTTACGTGTTAACAATGTTAATCCCTATCATTTTATTTTTTTTTTATGCGGAAACTTTGCCTTTTCCCATTAATTAATTATACGTCAACACAATTCCCGCAGAAACACCCACAATATCACGATAAAATCTTGTTCAAACTCCACACCTATAACAAAAATTCAAATTGATAAAACACCAAATAAATACGTCATATACAGCCACTATTAACTCATTCGTAGTTTGTATATACGGAAATCATATGCAAAAACAAGACACATATACAAAATATACCACCAAATCATGATAAAAATTATTAATATGACAAAAAAAAAAAACACATATTAACACAAAAAAGATAAATACAGCAACTTGTTAAGGTCACTTCAGGCGTTACTTCATGAGTAAATTAGCATCTCCTGCTTTATGTACACCGATCCAGTGCACAGGTTAATTTGAATAATAAGTATATATGGATAAACTCGTTATATACGAAAACCAAAATATTAATTAACACTAACTCAACATGACTGTTGACAAGATAATCGATAATGTTACTGACGTCTGATTCGGCCTTTAGAACCTTAAATCTCGTATTTGACGTTCTATGTTATTTATTATCATTGCTCTCGTTAAGTACAACGAAGTGGAATGCACGATCTGTTAGTCAGTTTGAGCAATAAACCTTTACGTTACATTTGTTCTTTATGTGCCACAATCTTTCATTTTTTACTTCCCGAGCGTAAGCGAAGGAAGTATTGTAATTGAGTCCGTCGGCCGACCCTCTACTTTTACGTTACCTTTCGTGACCCCTGCAGTATGAAGAAATATGTCTACCGCTTCCGTCTGTTTGTCCGTCTGCCGTCCCGATTTTCATTAGACGAATAATCTCCGAAAGTAGAAAGGAATAAATCCTATCTAAATTCTACAAAATATGATGAGACGGTACTTGTAATTTATTATTCCATTCATTTTTTCGGATTTGCATATACAGGGTGACAGGGTCAAAAGAAAATTACTGAATGCGTGTTATAGGAATAGCGTGCAAATGGTAAAACGTTAACCAAATGTTGGCTGATCAATCCCGATCACCAATGGGATGATGACATTCCAAATACGATACTTCTGTACTTGTAGTGGATAACTGCGTGCTGCGTTTTCACCTTAGACATCCAGATTTATGGGAAACAAAAAATTAAAATTGTATAACATTTTACAATTTAACTTCGAAACTGCAAAACCGCACTTGAAGCAAAGGCGTAGCACGTTTCTTTATGCTTACTTTAATATTACATCCATACATATGTTTATTTTAACTTATAAGGGTTATCATAAAAAAAATTAAATTCGCAAAATCAAATGATTTTCGAAAAAATGGACTTGTACTCAAGGGCGAGGGAAGTTCTGTCGAAATAACTTTCGATCAATTTTTTTGTTACTGTTTCAGTTGTAAAACTGGGTATATGTTAGTTGTCAAACGATATTAAAAAATATATTCTTAATAAATGGTACTAAATGAGATATAGATTTTTTACTACTATTATTTTTGTTATTTAAATTTTGTTTGTTTTGAATGATTTCTTGCGATCATAAAATCAGCTATTGATATTTATTTATGTTACTAGATTACGGTCGTTAATATGAGGTAAACTTAAAATATAAATAGTTCATTGAAAATAAACAATTGAAATAAATCTTCTTTTGAATTGTGGGTTATAGTATTATCGTATCTACTATAACTATAACCCTTATCATATGACGATCTACTCCGTAGAAATCTATAAATTAAATTTTCAACAGAACTAACTCATTTAAATTCCACTATCGCCTTGTCGATTTCGTGCCACGTAAGTTCTACTGTTTTCACACGCTTGAACCCGTGAACTCAAAGACGAATAGCTTCATAAGATTATGAATCAGCCAATGTAGATTCTTTTTTATTATTATCAACAACTTCGGTCTAAGGTCACATCTTGTTACACAGATACCTGGAGTGCCTCAATCCCTCAGCTCCGGTCTAGCCATCCCCTTTAAAATTCATACAACTGAACACATAGGTGATACTAAATAGTCTTCAAAAGATGGCGTCCGGCGATGATACAACGAACCTTGATGTTCCTGCTGATGGCGGGAGATATCGAAACAGAAAGTTTTGTGTGTTTGTTAAGTGCTTCAGTTTGTTCCACCCAGGATGTTTAAGTTTGCCTTATAAGCAACAAATCCCAAATGTAATCATGAATTATTATTACATACAATTTCTCCAAAAATTGTATATAATAATAGTGAATTTGAGACAGAAATTATGTAGGGGAACGCGGGGCAAAAAGGTCATAGCGGGCAGAGTGAACAGTTGCTTGTAATGTATACGTTCATGTTTCAAGAAATATGACCGGACATATCTTTGAAGTACATTTGGGGGCAAACTGGACCATCGTATTATGGGGCAAACTGAACCAGGTAAAACTGCGGTACTGACGGGAAGTCCTTATACAAAGGAACTTCAAGAAAATAGGACTACCCTAAAAGAAAAAACCAGAATTCCTAAGAAAAGGCTGACATTTACCAAAAATGATTCTAAAAATAGGGAAGACGATGCTGCATGCATTTATTGTAGTTCCCTGTTTAGCGACTCTAATGCAAAAAAAAATCGGTCCATTGCAGAAAATGTAAAAATTGGGCTCGCTCAGGGTTTAACAAAAAAATGAAAAATTTTATTTGTGATATTGGTGCCTAAAAGCCTATCAATTGTTTATATTTTTTGTTTGTATTTTATACAAGAAATGTTATTTTGTATAAAATAACATATCTTTTTGTGTGATATTGTGCCTAAAAGCGTATCAATTGTTTATATTTTTTGTTTGTATTTTATAGAAGATATGTTATTGAGTTTTTATGGAATTTTGAAATAAAGTGTTTTATATTTTTTCAAAATTTATTGTATTTTGTACTTATTTTTATGATTTTCTTTTAATATGTCCACTTTACCCAATCAGGCGGACCACTTTACCCACCCTATAGGGGTAAAGTGGACCAAATGCACGGTTGGAGTAAATTGTAAATAAGTAAGAAAATATTTAACAATTGACGTTTTTAGTTCTTTATAGTTATAGCCCAATGTTTGATGAATCAGCTTAAAGCGCTAAATCATTGATATAATGCATATAAAAGTTTATTTGCCCATTTTTTCATATCTATGTTCACTTTACCCCGCCTTCCCCTATCTTAAGGAATTAGTATTGGTGCTAAAAAGCAAGAACAATGTTTTAGAAGAAAATTGTGCTTTGCTGCGTGAGAAAAACTTGTATCTTGAATCTGGAGTTATTTCGTTGAAACAACAGCGCAAGTGTGTGTAGTCAGATAATATTATCCTAAATCCACTATCAACATCGGCAAAACGATTTTAAGTTGACTGATAATGATAAGACTAAGATGATTGCTGTTATTCAAGATGATGGTTTTAAAAAGGTTATTCATAACAAAAAATGTCAACATTATTAAAGGTAAACTTGAAGGGGACAACTTGACATTTAAAGCTGCTATCAAAAAACGTTATACAGGGTGACTGCGAACTATATGCAATAATTTTAACCACGGCATCCCCTACCCTAGTAGAATCGAAATATAAAAAAAACAAATTAAAAATCGAATGGGGCAAAACCTCCATGAACCACCCTCGATGCGAAGGCACTAAGCCACCTTGTAAACAGAGTTGGAAAAACATTCGAATAAAAACGACGTAAACACTTTCAGTTTCAATTAAAAGTAAAACCGATTTTTTGCTGCTTATCATTCGTTCATTTATTCATTCATCGTTAAAGATCAGTGCGAAAGTTTTTTGGTAATGCTTCATGATGATCAACTTTTGATTCGGACAGATGTTTGGTGCTTGCCACAACGATTTTACATTGCTTATTATTGGAGCACAAATACGAGCAACTTAGAATGCTACTACCTTTTTACAAGAAATGTTGAAAATGTTGTCCTTGACTAGCAATAGAGGCGTCAGAGCGTCGCAAGAGGTTTGTTGATAGGTAAAAAAACACCGAAGTAGCGGCTGCCA